AAAAACCCCAGCTCCTGAGCCGCTGACGAGTGGATGCTTACCATCCGGGACCAAAGGCCCTCCTGCCAAGGCTCGCCGCAGCGGCGACATGGAGCCCCACCTGTCCCGGTTCATGAGCGAACCGGGACTAAAGGTCATGGGCTTTAGTCCCGACCCTTTAGTCTCGGGTCCAGAATCGGGACAAATGAGCCTCTGGAATCGGGACAAATGGGCCTTTTCCCACTATGATGGTACTTGGTACAGGTTGCACCAAGTCAGGACTTTGATGAGTAGGGGGGATAAGTCAAAGTGCGACTGATCATGGAGCTACATGGGCCGTCCCACCATGCCAAGGAGCTTTCCTGGAGCGAGCTCCCACTGTACATGGATTAGCATCACACAAACTGGCGCGCACACACCTCCGTCCTGGACCTGGCCCATTTATTTTTCTTCCTTCTTTAACCTTCAAAAAATAGGTGCATGAAGAAGGATTCAAACTCCAAACCTCTTGGATTACTTCCACCTGCTATAAAAAATAAGGCATCTCACTTGCTATGCCTAATTATTTCTTTTATTCTTCTTGTTGTGCATCTTCTTAGTCTGATTTTCTTTTTTTTTTCTTCTTCTTTTAGACTTTTTTCTTCGGTTTTATTCGTTTCTTAATTTTCCCTTTTATTTCTTCTTCTTTTTATCTTCTCAGTCTGGTTTTCTTCTCCTTCTTATCCTACCCGAACACCGTCCATTGAACATGGTCTAGTTGTGGACATCCTTGAAATGAACTCAATAGTTGCAAGAAGGTGGGCATGCCCATCGTAGGAATCCATGCCAGATTTGAACGATTTCTAACACTGTATCCATGTTGCGACATGTTTGGTCATTTATCAGCCTTTTTCATCAGGAAAACTCCAAAAAATGCAAAACTTACTGAAACCCAAACAACTTGGCATGTTCTTGCAATTGGTCTACAAAGCCATGAAAAAATTTGAGGCCATTTCAAGGATGTCGAGAAACAGCATGCTCTCAGACGGAGCCTTCTCGCCTACCCGAACACCCTCCGTTTAACATCATTTATTTGGACATCCTTGAAATGATCCCAATTTTTATAAGCAGGTGGGCATGCCCATTGTATGCATCCATGTTAAGTTTGAACAATTTCTGACACTGTATGCGAGTTGTGACATGTTCGGCCATTTACTGGCATTTTTTCATCGGGAAAACCTAAAAAATGCAAAAAATGTCGAAAACCTAAACAACTTGGCATGGTTCCTTGAATTGGCCACAAGGGCATGGAAAAAAGTGGAGTCATTTCACGGATGTCGAGAAACAACGTGCTCTTAGACGGAACCTTCTAGCCTACCCGAACACCCTTCGTTCAACAAGGTATATTTTTGGAACTCCTTGAAATGACTCCAAATTTTACAAGTAGGTGGGCATGACCATTGTAGGCATCCATGTTAGGTTAAAAGATTCTTGACACTGTATGCAGGTTGCAACACGTTCGTCCATTTATCGGCCTTTTTTCACAGGGAGAACTCTAGAAAATTCAAAAATTGCCGAAAACCTAAACAACTTGGCATGATGCCTTGAATTGGTCATACAATGCCATGAAAAAAACTAGAGCCATTTAAGGATGTCGAGAAACAATGTGCTCTTAGAGGGAACCTCGCCTACCCGAACACCCTCCATTCAACATGTTCTATTTTTGGACATCCTTAATATTACTCCAACTTTTGCAAGCAGGTGGGCATGCTCATTGTAAGTATCCATGTCAAGTTTGAACGATTTTCGACACCGTATGTAAGTTGTGACATGTCCATCCACTTATTGGCCTTTTTCATCGGGATAACTCCAGAAAATGCAAAATTTGCCGAAAACCAAAACAACTTGGCATGGTGCCTTCAATTGGTAAACAAGTCCCTGGAAAAAAAATTGGAGCCATTAGATGGATGTCGATAAATAAGGTGCTCTCAAACGGAGCCTTTTGGCCTACCCAGACACCCTACGTTGAACATGGTGTTTTTTGACATTCTTGAAATGACCCCAAATTTTGCAAGTAGGTGGGCATGCCTATGATAGATATCAATGTCAGGTTTCAAGGGGAAAGTATTAAAATCATAATCCAACCTGTAAATGCTTTTGAAAAGCATTTAATGAATATTTCAAAAAAGGAATTTAAACCATAATTTAAAACTTTTACTTAAATTTGCTACTTTTTGTATTCCAAAAAAAATCAATTTTTGGATTGGTTTTGAAAATAATATGGTTCAAAAACGAGAGAAATGAATTAACCAAAAAAGAGAATAAAAACAAAAAATAGAAAAAAAATGCTTAGGCCTTGGAAAACTAGGCGACAACATCATCCCCGTCCAGCCAAACGCTCGCTAATTTGGAGAAAGTCCACCAATTCAAAAAATGTCCCCATTCTCAAAAATTGTTAACAAATTCAAAAAATG